GTAAATTCCCAACATTTTACAAGAAATCGGAAAAGTATCCACTCAGGGATTAATTTCCACCGCAATTCGGTTAGAGAATTAAGATATGTACGAGAAATCTTAACATACTAAATATTCCTTTGGTTTTTAGATTAATAAAAACGACAACCGATAATAATGATTATCATACGACAAATTGACAATTAGAGTCTCATTAACTAATAATGTTGGCACGACCTATGCAGCAGTAAAATAATCCTCTCTTGTTAAAAAATGGTCAAATTATGTTTTGAAAAAGATAAAGGTTCTTAGCTCTATACTAAATTTTTTTTATAAAAATTTTATGTTATTTTAAGAATTTATGGAGTCAAAACTTGTAGGACTCACCGGCAACATTGTTGACGTATTTTAACATGTATTCTCAGGAAACTAAGGCAAGAAATCCACGCGAGGAGTAAGGAATCATCGTCTTATGTTTTTGTAATAAATTACGTTTTATGTCCTCTTTTTGAGTCATTGAAGATTTGTCGTGAAACATGTAACAAAGTAAGATATAATTATGTTGTATGTGATGTAAAACTCTAAGTTGTTGTTTAATGTTTGATATATGTTATGTTTGTGATATTCGATTTTCGTCGCTCGCCCGGCGATTCCGCCGTCGGCTGGGGGTGTGACAGTAACCCTTACTTGACCCATATCTCAAGTATTACATATCAAAACTCCATAATATAATTTTTATTCATTTCTATTATTGTTATAGCAATTTGTTTGTGGACCTATTTACCCCTCTTATCCATACTTTTGAAAGCTTAAAACTTATTATTAAAGAAAATATTCTTAGCTTTTTGGGGATATAAAATACATGCTCTATTGATTAATAAGATAAATTATGTTTCCTAATATTGTCTTTATCAAAACATGAAATTCTTCTTAAATTAATTCGACTTAATAGCTTAATGTCACGAACCAAGTTTCTGGAAAATTGCACGATCGTCTAGAGAACTCCAGAACGATCAAGTATACTCGAGACGTCTCTGGAGAGATCAAAAATGCTCTACGGGACCCTGGAAGATGCTAGAATATTGTAGATATCCGTGGAACAAAGGAGAACGATCCGGAATAATCAAGAAGGCACTAGACGAAGCTAGAACGACCCGGAAGACTTTGGAACGATCTAGAACACGCTAGATCATACAAGAGCGATTTGGATAATGTCGGGACGACCTAGAGACTTCTAGAGCATCGTAGACAAGTATACCATATTCTAGAGTCTTGTAAAATCCATATATATAATACGAAGAGTCTATATTAGTCAGAATGATCGGGACCTAGAAACTTCCATTTGAGGAGGTGTAAGGTACCTATAAATAGGAATGATGTCTCATTTGTAGGAATCATCGAGAAGTTGCCTTGTAAAGTAGTTGAGTTGTATAATAGAAGCTTTCTCTCTTACTTCGTAGCATTCGTTATCGCATCTTTTGCCATCCTAGTCGTTAGTACATCGTAAGGAAGTATTCCAAGCCTGACTTAGTCGAAGAAACACTAAGTGGTACACGGTGATTGAGTCATCCCGTGACACGTGGTATTAGAGCCAGAGTTCATACAAGCAAGAGATCATAATTATAGGAGGAAGTAGTGAAGTAGCAAACGTGCCCCCTGTCGTCGAGGAGAAAGGAAGAAAGTCCAAGAATAGGGACCAATCGATAGATGCCTTGGCAAGCTTGGAGAACAAGCTTACAAGGACGGAGATTAACATCGGTGAGATCATTGAATGGAAGGATGCCGTCTATCATTTCGTTGCAGAAATAAGTGACACGAGCGATGGATTAAAGGAGACCATCGGTGTCATCAAGGAAAAAGTCATTGGACTTATCAACACCTTGCGGAATGAGTTCTGTGAGAAGGTAGCTACGCTGGAAGCCAAAGTAAACTTGTGCAAGCCAGCAATCGTCGGAGGAGCCGTTGCAAATAAGTCACCACACACGGAAGCACCCAAACCATTAAAGTATGGAGGAAAATGTGAACCTAAAGAACTTGACGAATTCTTTTGGTCGATGGAATGTTACTTCAATGCTAGTCAAGTAAAGGAAGACAAGACGAAGGTCGATATGGTAGTCCTTTACCTATGTGAAAGTGCAGCCCTATGGTGGAGAAGGAAGCACAGAGACATTGAAAAAGGCTTATACACCATATACACCTGGGAAGAGTTCAAGAGGCAACTTAAGAGATAATTCCGCCCACATAATGCTGAAGACATAGCGATGAAGAAACTTCGTGGGCTAAAGCATATTGGATCCATCCGAGACTATATAGTCGAGTTCACAAGCTTAATGCTAGAGTTACCCGACATGCAGTGGAAGGAAAAACTTTTCTATTTCATGGATGGACTACAATCTTGGGCCTACAACGAGCTCAAGAGGAGGAATGTCAAAGACATCGACGAAGCTATTTCCATGGCAGACGATCTAATGGAATTTCGAAGAAAAAGCACGGTTAAGAAGAATAGTGGGGGAGAGCAACTATGTCAGAACCGGAACCAAAACAAAACACACCCCAACCTTTGAATACAAAAGGAAAAGCAATCAATGGAAGAAACTGAAGAGAAGAACGGAAGGAGATCAAGTGCTACTTGTGTGATGGGCCTCACCTGACCCGAGATTGCCCGAAGAAAAAGACCTTCTATGCGGTGGTGTTGCAAGAAGAAGAAGACGAAGCACAAATAAGCTCAAGGCGTTTTCTAAACCCAATATCGAAGGATGAGATAAAATCATCTAAAAGGGAAGAAAATAAAGGAGGGAGTCTCATGTTTGTCAAAGCCAAAGTGAATGCAAGGAAGACTAAGGCGCTAGTAGATTCCGGAGCAACGCATAGTTTCATCGCAGAGGAAGAAGCCAAGAAGTTGGGTATTCACTATACAAAGGAGTTAGGACGGTTGAAAGTTGTCAACTCTCCATCCAATCCAATCCTCAGAGTTTCTCGTGGAATACCCATGAAGATTGCAGAATGGGAAGGGGCCATCGACTTGATAGTGGTTCTGATGGACGACTATTGCATCGTACAAGGAATGGACTTCCTAGATATGGTATGTCCTTGGTCGTTTGAAAGAGATAACACCATGCGTATAACCAAGGGATCAATTATCCATATAATTCCCTTGGAAAGAAGCAAGACAAAAGCTCGAACCCTTTCAACTATGAAGTTTCATAAAGGCACCGAGAGAGAAGGAAGTATGCACATGTGTTATGGCCAGAGTATCAAGAAGAATATGAAGCCAAAAAGGGAAATTCGAGTAAACAAGGCACATTTGAAGGAATAGAGATCCATATCCCACTTGAAGATTTACTCAAGATTTTATGAGGCTGAGAGAAGAAGTAGGATTCAAGGTACGTTGAGAAATAAAAGCACACCTTACTCTAAGCGATACTTTGGAGAACAAGAAAAGACACGAAGTAACTCTGTGACAAGATCGAGACATATGTATAGAAGACTTGACGAGGACGTCAAGGGTTTAAGTGGGGGAGGGTGACACCGACCAAGTTTCTGGAAAATTCTACGATTTTCTAGAGAACTCCAGAACGATTAAGTATACTCGAGAAGTCTCTGGAGAGATCAAAAATGCTCTACGGGGCCTTGGAAGATGCTAGAATATTGTAGATGTCCGTGGAACAAAGGAGAACGATCCAGAATAATCAAGAAGGCACTAGACGAAGCTAAAACGACTCGGAAGACTTTGGAACGATCTAGAACACGCTAGATCATACAAAAGCAATTCAGATAATGGCGGGACGACCTAGAGATTTCTAGAGCATCGTAAACAAGTATACCATATTCTAGAGTCTTGTAAAATCCATATATATAATAGGAGGAGTCTAGATTAGTCAAGAATGATTGGGACCTAGAAACTTCCATTTGAGGATGTGTAAGGTACCTATAAATAGAAATGATGTTTCATTTGTAGGAATCATCAAGAAGTTGCCTTGTAAAGTAGTTGAGTTGTATAATAGAAGATTTCTTTCTTACTTCATATCATTCGTTATCGCATCTCTTGCCATCCTAGTCGTTAGTACACCGTAAGGAAGTATTTCAAGCCTGACTTAGTCGAAGAAACACTAAGTAGCACACGGTGATTAAGTCATCCCGTGACATTAAGCCTTTAATCCATCTCAATTTTTAACACAAAACTAACAATTATTTGAAGCCCACAAATCATTTAAAACCATCAATATTAACACTAATTTGTTGCTTGTATTTGATCCAATCATCAAGTGATTATATCCTCAATTTTAATTAGGGAAAATGACTCTTGAGGGTAATTAACTTTTGCGTTTGTACTCATTTGGTCCCTTTCCTTTTTTTGTATTCAATATACCATCGAACTTGTTGCTTGTGTTCACCATAACCCTTTTGACCAGCTTTTGACATGTGATAGTCGGTCAAAGGGTTATGGTGAACACAAACAACAAGTTCGATGGTATATTGAGTACAAAAAAAAAGTAAACGGACCAAATGAGAACAAATGCAACAATTGGTTACCCTCCTGATTCATTTTCCCTTTACTCATTTACAACAAATCCCACGTCATCTCCTACTGATATTAATGACTATGAGATTCATTCTTGCTTCTCTTCAAAACATAAGCCACGAAAGGACATTATTCATACATGTACAACTTTGTAATGCACTTGAATATTTATTAGGGGAATCTTGACTAAGCAGACGCATTTCATGACTACATTTACATTTCCAATCAAATGATTTATCGTATCATGGATTCTAGACAAGTCTACAAACGAGTGGAATCACAAGTGCTGTGATTTTTGAGTTTACTTAGCTTTAAGATCGAACTCATGGGATAAGATACAACATCAATATGTACAATATTCAAGTGCATTACAAAGTTGTACATGTATGAATAATGTCCTTTCGTGGCTTATGTTTTGAAGAGAAACAAGAATGAATCTCATAGTCATTAATATCAGTAGGAGATGACGTGGGATTTGCTGTAAATGAGTAAAGGGAAAATGAATCAGGAGGGTAACCAATTGTTGCATTTGTTCTCATTTGGTCCGTTTACTTTTTTTTTTGTACTCAATATACCATCGAACTTGTTGTTTGTGTTCACCATAACCCTTTGACCGACTATCACATGTCAAAAGCCGGTCAAAAGGGTTATGGTGAACACAAGCAACAAGTTCGATGGTATATTGAATACAAAAAAAGGAAAGGGACCAAATGAGTACAAACGTAAAAGTTAATTACCCTCAAGAGTCATTTTCCCTTTTAATTAATATGTCTTAGCCTAATTAAAATCCAATCAAAAGTATCCATCGTCTATTTAAAGTTCGCTTATCAATTTGTCCTAATGAATTAGTTAAACTTAGCAAAATAATTATTCCGTATGATAAATCGCTAGGCGAGGTTTTATAATTGTCTATTGGGTCTTTTATTAATTTAATTCCATTTAAAATATATCTCAAATACTGTTTTCGTAAAATCAGTTAAATTGAATATTATATATACTATTAATTCTTAAAACCTTAGCTACAGTTATATTTTTTTCTCTTTCAACTTTTGTCACTGAACTTCGTATTCTCATTTTAACACCACAATAATTTTAACTCTCCACCACCTTTTGACTCCACCGCCTTTGACTTTGCCTCTTTCTTCTTATCTCAATTTGCTCCCAATTTCATCAGGAAAGCCTTTCATGACTCTTGTGATTTCCAGCTCTCCTCTTTCTTGCACCACTCCGATGGTCCTTTTTGTACCGACGTCTACTATGAGAGTTTACCAATCGACCAGGGAAACAGTCGTGAAAGATTCCCTCAATAATTGCCCTGAAAATTGACATCAACAGGAATAGACCACCGTTGCCGACTTCCACCCTTCTTTGGTTTCAGCCATAACCATCTCTGGTGACATCGGCCCTGCCATAGCCTCCATTAGTGACTCTGCCTCAGCCACCTATCTGGCACAGCAGACGACGACGATTCCTTTTGTAAGTGTTCTATTCTGATTTTCAGACTCCAATCGTTTGATTGAATACAAAATCGGCTTTGTTTCTTAGATTCCACTCTCCATGTTGATGTTTTTTCTGAAGCTTCGGAATCGGCTACTAGCGTGGAACCATCGAAGTTGTATCGCACCAGGACTACAGATACTCTGTAATCGTACCTCTACTGCGCTATCGAAAACCCTACACTTCGAAGACCTTGACATAGAGGTTATTGTCTCTATAACAGGTACCGATTCTTACAATTTCAACTCCAACTCTTCGAATACAAAAATCTTTCTTGAAATAAAAATATTTGTGAACTGGGTTTTTTGAAGTGATTGGAAGATTTTGTTGTTAAAAGCGCATGTACCTGGACGAAATTGAACTGAACGCACAGATATATGGAAGATTCCGGTTGACGGGTAGATTCAGCAGATGGTCGGGACTGCGATAAGTCACACCGAGAATGAGGGACATTGAATTTAAGCTTATGCTCAATGAAGTAACACACTTTCTTTAATCTGGGCAACAACCAATTATTAGAATATGGGTATTTCTGATTTTTTCGTCATTTTTTTTCTCTTACTGTATGTCGCCTTTTGATCTAAGGTTCCTCTTCATTCCCCACCATCGTGTAATCTCTTAAGAAATTGTAACCTGTTGCTTCATCTTATCCAGGTATGCATTCACAGAATTATCATCTCATTGTCTTGGGAGCACTCGGAGTTGTTTTAGTCGTTGCGTTAGGGCAATACAACTACTAGAAAGTTGTTCGTTTATTCCTTCCAATTTGTGGATATTCATTCCATCATGTAATGGAATAAAAACTTACAATATAACATAATTTTATTTCTGTAGTTTGTTAACATAAATCTTTTCAAAACAAAAAATAAGACTCCAATCTTTAAATTACCAAAATAACCTTTCTAAGTTCTAACAAACCAAAACATTTGCAGGTTATAAGTATGAGAAGGGTAGGCATGGCAAAGGCACGTGGAGATATTTTAGCAGCCATTGATTGGCTCAATAAATATCTTGAGATGTAAGAATAAAATCACAAACATTATTTATTTTTGTTCTAAATTACTATAAAATTCAATGAGGTCTCTTGATGTTTGGTTTTTTTTTTTTTTTGCCCAGATTCATGGCAGATCATGATGCGTGGAGAGAACTTGCTAAAGTATATGTTTCATTGTAATTATGAGTCTCATTAATTTATATGTGGATTAAAAAAAAGACAAATTTGCCCCTGGGGCTTATCACGGTTTATGTGGCTTTATAGGTATAAACAAGCAGGTTTCTGCTATGAGGAGCTGATCTTATCTCCACCAATCATTCCTATACATCATCTCGCTTATGCTGATGTAAGTATTTATTATGAATATAAACTGTTGTATACATAAAAAAAAACTTGACTGAATAAACTTTCCAAATGAGACTAAATGACCATTTTAAACTCACACTTAAATAACAAATTTTACAATATTCATCAGTTTTAACGTGAGGATTTGGGAGGAAAAAAAGTCAAATAGTTAAAGGTTTGTGTCTGAATACATTAAAGCAATGTCATTAAAATACAAAGCAATTTTCAACCACTTTTGATTGTGTTGAAAGTTCATTTATTAATGGGAGGAAAATTATATATTTCTTTATGCCAGAAAACCAGATTCCCCAAAAGATCAAGCAAGAGTGAATGTTCAAGGAACAAATGATACTCCAAAGAAGCCAAAACAGTCTAACCCTAAACAGTCACGATGCTAAAAAGTGTAAGTACCATTCTTAAATTCAAGTTTTATTGCATAAAAAAGTTATTTGATGAGTATAAAAGTATTAGACATGGACATGGAGGAACGACTCAAGAAAAATAAAATCATTGAGTTTTTCCTTAAAATAATGAACTTTATAATACATTTTTTTATTCTTTTTCTGGGAATTACACATTAAAATTTTCGATCTTTCCATTCTTTTTGTTGGTATGTAGTATGGTACATTAAAGTTATAATCGTTTCATTGTTTTTTGTTGGTATGTTGTTTTAAAACTATTTATCTTTTAATTTTTTGGGTGTCATAAGAAAATGTTATTGTCAATTTGTAGGAATGGGGTGACCGGTAGCTGCTGGGGATGCCCAAGTACATGACTATGCACCAATGTTTTCTTAAACAACTATAATGAAACAATACATTTCTGCAGATGAATATGCGGCAACCATTAATGGACCCATACGAGAGACCAAGTTAGTTGCATTTATTAGTATTATTCTTATATATTTACATATATAAAGTTGTTTTTGTTTTTACATCCTTTTAAGGAAGATGAGACAAAACAGAGCATTATTGTGGATATCATGTATCCCATAGAACGAAATCTTGTAAGTTGATTTTTTTAGTATTTGTCCTGGATTTAATTTGATATAAGAGTTCTCAAACTATAGTCCCTTTTGTAGCCTTTAGCCCTTTATGAGTTTCACAGGCATACTAATTTGTTTAATACATGCATCATCTTTATCTGATATATCATGATCCATTCATACATTATTGAGTTGGAATTTCTATAGGTTGCCTGTCATCAGCTTAATTGGGAGGTCGATGAACTTGAGGTGAGCTACAATTCTTTATTTATCTAATTTTCATTGCTTTCTTAGCTTTTTCCTATATATTTGTATAGAATGTAAACCAGATAGAAATATGTATTGTTTTTTACTATGTATGTATGGTTTTTAATGGTTGTTTTTGTTTCTGTATATTCAATGTTGTTTAGTGGAATCATGTGAATGCTAATTATAAACAGAAAGTTGGTTTTATTGAAGGCTTTGTTGATGTAGACACTAATGCTACCTTTGTTTATCGATCTAACTCTTTAGGTTCATGCTTCTCTGATATGGATTGAATAAGGTGGACACAGTCTATGTTACTCTCTAGAAACCACAAAACCACCAATCTGTTTAAGTGGTGGTAAGTACATAGCTTTATTTTTTCCATAATTTCCAACCAAATGCTCATGTATTCTGATGGGAAAATATCAGAAAAGGTAATCATTGGACCGAGCATTAACATTTAGTATTGAAAAGTTTTTTAAATCAAAAAATCAACTCACATACTTATATATTTAATTTGATTTATCACTGTTGCAGGATGAGAAGAGACTAAGAACTTTTATAAGTGAGGGTCCTATATGTGAAAGGAAATTTGCGCAATGTTTTTGTAGCAGAGGGTGCTCCAAGGTCTGTGCTACTTTCTTTTTTAAAGTAAAGAAAAAGTTACATTTTTCGTCCTTGAGTTTAGCTGATTATCTCGGTTTTCGTCCCTATGGTCTTTCAAAAGTTACGTGTTCAGTCTAGATGTTACATTTTTTGCATGGTTGGTCCCTAAAGCGTAGTTCCATTGCACCTTAGCTCCAAAGTAAAATGACTATTTTGACCCCATTTTCTTCTTCTTCAATTCAAACTTAAAAAAGTTGTAAACTACTTTCATCTTATTTTTTAAATAGGTATGAAGGACATATTCTTGCAAATGAGTTGATTAGTAGGGGACTACAAACAACAGTATTCACCACATAACACAGATAACAAGGTAAGAACATTTGTCTGAGTTTGTAAATTTATAGTTATTTGACAACGTATGCCAAATGTTCAATGAATTGCTCAAACAAAACATACATCACAAAAACAAAAAAAAAAAAACAAAAAAAAAAAAAATTGGTTTCTTTCCTTCACCTTTCTCAAGTATATGTATTTATTACCACTTCATCACAGGAAATGGAGACTTTACGTTCAGAAAGTAGTCGTTGGTAGAACCACATGTACAAACGACTGGTAAATATATCAATTAATGTTGTTGAAGTTATGGTTGATACATGTTGGGGAATTGTAGAAGCCAACATTATTAATTGATTATCTTAGAATTGATCTCTTCTCTTTTGACCTATGTCATTATTAATAAACTAACTTCATATGCATGTGTCAATGTTGCTTGTAGGCAGCATGTAAAAATGCACCAGAAAGAAGCAAGGCGAAGAGGGTTATGAAATTGTAATATGAAACAGGTTTGGTCTCTAGCGGATTAACTTTCATTTTTATTTTATTTTTAAAAAGTTGTTTTTACATCTACATTGTAGTGATGTACATTAAGTTTGTTTTATTGGAATGTTTATTTAATTGCAGAGACAATAATCATTTCATCATACTTTGGTTTTGATTTATTCTGATATGTCAAAAGTTGGATAAGATCTTAAAACACTTTTTTTTAGTGTTTTAAATTCCTGCAGGTGTTGGAAAGGTAACAAATTATTGATTTACCCTTTTCACTTCTGGATATGGACCCCTGGATGTTGGGACAAGACTTAATGTTGCATAAGGATCATCTTGGTAACAAATGAAGGATGTGATTTCTCTCTTTCGTGACATGATTTTTTTTGCTTCTCTGGGTAAAACATCTTTGAAAAAAATATAATTATTATAGCATTGTACTTTTTAACTTTCTTTTTCAAGATGTTATATAAAATTTTCAAGAACATTTACGCAAACTTGATCCAACCTGGCGCCGTTGATGCAGGTAATTCCTACTAGTTATCTTAAATTTTCTTAAATTTTCTAATTTTCTAATTTATTTAAATAAACTAAATGCTACGGGTTGTACCTCATCGGTCCAATAGTTATTATTTCATATGATTTTTCATTAGCCCATTAGTAATACTTGGGTCTTATACTCTTATCCAAGCTTGGCCCAATCAATCTCATTGACCTAACAGGAATCAAAATGCAATGGTACCTGTGAACATCACGGCGGCGTTCCAATTCCTGTAACCGACTCCACGACCATCTGTTAAGATTTATGGAGTCTTGAACAAATTGACAAGTTCCTAAGATTTCAAGGGTCATAAATGTAACATTACATTTAACAATTGAATTATTCAATTGTTGTCGGCAAACGTTTGAATTAAATATTCAAATGGTCGGTGGACAATTATTTAATATTTGTTGGACGGCTAATGTGAATGGCAAAATTTTCAAAGTCAATCTTTGTGGCAATCCTGTGCATATTGCGGCTCACAAATATACCTATATATATGCTTGTATGTTTTGCATATTTTGTGTGCAAAAACTTGAGAGAACATCAAGTGTAGAGTGTCAAGCCAATTGTAATCTTGTGAGTTTTAATAAAATTCTCTAGTTGCAGCCCGTGGACGTAGGATTTGCACCGAATCCGAACCACGTAAAATCCTTGTGTTCTTCTTGCTTTATTTTCGTGAGTTTGTGTGTGTGTGATAGTGTGTTTCCGCTGCGTGTACCCGGTCCGGTTCCTAACAACTGGTATCAGAGCCAGATTAGCGAGGTTTGGAGGGTACAATCATTTTTTTTTATCACGCACGAGTGTACCTGATTTGTATCTTGTTTGTCGTAATGGCTGAAGACAAGATTATAATCGAAAAGTTCAACGGTTCTGATTTTAGCTGGTGGACAATGCAATTAGAAGCATTGCTATGTCAGAAAGACTTGGACATGGTACTCGGAGACAAACCGGAGAAAATGGAAAAAGCTTTTGAAGATGCGTGGAACTCAAAGGACAAGAAAGCCAAGGCGGTTATTACATTGTCATTGACGAAGAGCGTTGCTTTCAACATCATGAATGAAACCACGGCGCGTGGTATGATGGAGGCTCTGTCAAATATGTATGAGAAACCATCGGCGGCTAACAAGGTGTTCTTGATGAAGGAGTTGTTCACTACAAGGATGAATGAGGAAGGCTCAGTTACGGTTCACATTAATAATTTAAATTCAATTCTGTCCAGATTATCATCTGTGGGAATTAAATTTGATAACGAGACTCAAGCATCACTGCTACTAGCTTCTCTATCTGATAGCTGGTCCGGAACAGTTACTGCTGTTACAAGTTCCGTGGGGACCAGTGGTATGACTTTTGAAGGGGTTAGAGATTTGGTTCTAGGCGAGGATATCAGACGCAAGAATCAAGGTGGATCTTCCTCTTCTGATTTATTAAATGTCGGAAGAGGTAGAGGGAATAGCAGGAATAGTCGAAGCAGTGGGAGTCGGGGAAGAAGTTCATCTAGAACTAAGAAGAATGTGAAGTGCTGGAACTGCCAGGAGGTGGGACATGTTAAGAGTCAATGTCCAAAGAAAGAATTGAACATTACCGGTGCTGAGAGTGTGTCTGAGGATGATGCATTGATACTCAGTATGAAAAGTTCTGTAGACTCTTGGGTCATGGATTCAGGGGCTTCGTTTCACGCCATGGACAACGGGGAAACGATGGTGAATCTAAAAAAAGGAGATTTTGGAAAGGTACGGTTAGCAAATGACGAGATGCTTCAAGTAACGGGCATGGGAGATATTGATCTAGTTACTTCATTGGGAACTACATGGAGCCTGAAGAATGTCAGGGTTATTCCGGAGCTGAAGAAAAAATTGATTTTTGTTGGTCAGCTGAATAAACAAGGATTGGAAGTAAGGTTTGGTGGTGGTAAATGGATGGTGGTCAATGGTAATTCGGTGATTGCTCAAGGTATGAAGCGTGGGTCATTGTATATGGTTGAGGTACCTGCTGAGGGAAGTATGACCATCCCGATTAAGCAAAACAAAATCTGGTTCGCTAAATCTACTGCTAAGAGAGTTCATTTTGCAAACATGAATTCTGGAGCCAAGGGGATGTTAGCTGAACGAGTCGGAAATTCTAAACCATTCAGGGGATTCTGTGACAGTGGGAGCACGGGGTGTGTTCCGGGTACACTTACAAAGAGCCGTTGGGTTTTGAAGACTAAGACTGGAAAATTCTCTCTTGTTGGAAGTTTGCAAAGTTTGGAGAGTGTTAGTGGTCCTCGGTGTATCTCTGGATCTGGTGGAGTGTCCAAACCGGTTGAGACAGAGGATGAGTCGGTGGTGGGATTAGCCACGACTGAGTTGGAGCTAGTGGGAGCTTCAACTGGCCCTTCTAGTACTTGAAGATGAGGGGCGGCTGCAATTAGAGAAATCAGACTAAGTTTTAGCTTGTTCTTTGGAACTGGAAGCTTGAAGGACTTGGTTGTTTTAAGATTACTGGAGTTGGATGACAGAGACGAACCATGTTGTTCAAGCCTCCAAGTGGGAGATTGTTAAGATTTATGGAGTCTTGAACAAATTGACAAGTTCCTAAGAGTTCAAGGGTCATAAATGTAACATTACATTTAACAATTGAATTATTCAATTGTTGTCGGCAAACGTTTGAATTAAATATTCAAATGGTCGGTGGACAATTATTTAATATTTGTTGGACGGCTAATGTGAATGGCAAAATTTTCAAAGTCAATCTTTGCGGCAATCCTGTGCATATTGCGGCTCACAAATATACATGCATGTATGTTTTGCATATTTTGTGTGCAAAAACTTGAGAGAACATCAAGTGTAGAGTGTCAAGCCAATTGTAATCTTGTGAGTTTTAATAAAATTCTCTAGTTGCAGCCCGTGGACGTAGGATTTGCACCGAATCCGAACCACGTAAAATCCTTGTGTTCTTCTTGCTTTATTTTCGTGAGTTTGTGTGTGTGTGATAGTGTGTTTCCGCTGCGTGTACCCTGTCTCAATTCCTAACACCATCTTCTCCTTCGACAGTGCCGATCTGCCATCATCTCTTTGTCTTGATCTGCCCCATGCTAGAAGCACCCAATGACAATCATCAGAGACCCATAGTTTCACCCAAACACGCATCGAGAAAACCAAATCATAAGCACACCCATTTCTCTTTTGTTGGAACTAAAGACTGTTGTCACCATTTGGGTCTCGTCAATCGTCATCAACCTTTCTACCAAGATTTTCTTCCTGGTTACCAAGAATCATTGCTAGACTCGTTGAACCTACTCCATCTCCATCCAGATCTGCTAGAGTTTCTTCACCGGAGACATATCACAATAGTCACAGCTACGACCTGATGCTTCTTCACAGGGAAGCACATAATCCACTGACATCACTACCCTTCTGGAACTACCTGATAGTCATGCCTGAAGCTAAGGGCTCACCTAGCATAACTTCATGTTCACTTGCTGGCGTACCATGTCCCCGGAAAACACCCGCCACCGACTTTCTTCAATCTCTCCCTTTTCTTCTCCCGTTTCTCTCAATATATATCTATGTCGTTTCACTCATATGACGCCTCCAAGAAAGATATATAAACCCATCTCTAACGCTACACGGAGTCATTCGCTTCGCTAGGCCTCGCTAAAGTCGTTGTACACCGTCCCTTGAGTATTTGAATGGCTCTGCAACTTTTTAGCTTTCTATTTTTCCAGCTTTTTCTCTCCCTTCATTTCATCTTTGATCTGAGTTGTTGTTATCACCCTTCCTTTCATCTTTGACTTTGGAAAGTCATATTTCATCTAATATCTCTATTTAAATTAGGTTGTATATCCTTTTTTTTTATTAATATCAAGTGTTTGTGTTTTAAAAAAATATAATTTATGTAATATGAAATATTTGTGTATTAAAAAAATATAATTTCATCTTTGACTTTGGAAAGTCGTATTTCATCTAATAACTCTATTTAAATTAGGTTGTATATCCTTTTTTTATTAATATTAAGTGTTTGTGTTTTAAAAAAATATAATTTATGTAATATGAAATATTTGTGTATTAAAAAAATATAATTTCATCTTTGACTTTGGAAAGTCATATTTCATCTAATAACTCTATTTAAATTAGGTTGTATATCCTTTTTATATTAATATTAAGTGTTTGTGTTTTAAAAAAAAATATAATTTATGTAATATGAAATATTTGTGTATTAAAAAAATATAATTTATTTAAAATAGAAAAAAAATAATATATATATATATATATATATATATATATATATATATATATATATATATATATATATATATATATATATATAGATTAGTGAATATGTGACTGTCGTGTATATAAAATTATATATAAAACCAATCAAAAATGCATAATTTAAATACAAATCGAGTTAAAATATTTTTTCATTTTATTCCTATTATCGTTTTCTTAATTTAGGTTGTAATTCTCCAACATAATATGCACACTTTCAATCAAATTAGAAAACAAAACGGATCTTTGCTTCAACCATTGATAAAGGGAATAATATTGTCTTCTTGAGATCTATATATTACTCTTTTTTTTTTCATTTTAAACTTCATCGAGCATTGATATTTATGAACCGTAGAGTTGTTCATGTCAACTAGATACACACTAAGCAAACAATTAAAATATAAGAATGTCAAATTAAAAACTAATAATAAAAAGTAATATTGTTTTAAGATGTAAATCGAGTAAAAGAATGAGAATTGGAGTAAAAGTAGGAAAAAAATTATATTTAAAATTCAAGATTTGTATCTAAACTACGTAGCTTTATGTCAAAACGACGTAGTATTGGAAGTTCTATACCTAATTTTACATACATGACAGCCACATATTCATTTTTTCATATATATATATATATATATATATATATATATATATATATATATATATATATATATATATATATATATATATATATATATATATATATATATATATAGCCGAGGTGGTGTTGTAGGCATAAATTTGAGAAAAAGACAATCAAATATAATTTGCTTAAGATGTGTGATGTTAAATCTAAAGTTACAATAATAGTTCTTGATAATTCTTCTCTTGTTTCCCATGCAACCCAAGTCTAGATTCCTTCCGCAAATGATTTTCAAGTTTTTCACTTTACTACCTTTAAGTTCAAGCTATTATATTTCACTTTTGCATTTTATTAAATTTTAATTATTTTGTTCTTTTGACACCTAATACCCTTAAATTAATTTAAATAAGAATTAAACACTTATATTTCATTTAAATATCAATTAAAATCTTATTATTTTAGTTGCCATACTAATTTATTTTGTTTTTTTTTTATTAAACTAACTTCATAAAATACATTAATGAGAAATAGGACGTTACATGATTTCACATGGAGGAAAATGATTTTTTATAATATAAATTTTTGAAACCTTCAGATTGTTTTGATTCTTCATTGATACCTGTCCTGGTCGTTTAGCTTTAATGA